AGATGGGATTAACAGTAGCAAATATCTGTCTGGGAACGGGGAAACACCACATATCAACAGAGTGCCTGAATGAAACGCAATTGTATATCTAACCCTTAACTGTACCCCACAACTTCACAATTAAAAAAAAATACTACTCTTTCAGCCTATTTCCTTATTTGAGTAGAAACTCATCAATTTCTGCAGAATTTTGGCTACAGGACCAGGCCACAGAAAAGGTCTGAAATACCTAAAAGTCATTTGGTTAGGGGAAAGGGTTTTCTTGGGACTTGGAGGCTGTCATTCGTCACTTTGTGCTGGAAGGTACTCCTCAGCAAGCTTCTTCCAAGTCTTCAGTGTAGAGCGCAGGATCTGGGCTCTCAGAAGGGATTGCTCCCAGCTGGGACCCCGACCAGCAGTGCGTCCTTGCAGGCGTTCTGCATGCAGTTCTGCTGGAGCTCTGCTGCCGCCTGCGATACCTTGATTCTCTCCACGCCGGCCTCCAGCTTGAGCTGCTCCACCAGGCGCTGCAGGGCACTCACGCTGGCCTCGGAAGACATGGCGGCGGCGCTGCACTCCCGATGCCTGTTTCTTATCCACACAATTACTGTAAAGAGATATGTGAGCACACAGATGGAATGTCATACTGCAGTGGTTTGAAGAAACATCTCAGTGTCCTAAAAGGAACCTAAATAGAAAAGTTGATGAACTGGAGGTGGTGGCTCTGCTGGGTTATTGTGTCTGGCCTTCCACAACAGACTCCAATTTCTTGTTTTCTGCCCCTGAGGGAGAAGCAGCCATCTCTGTTAAAGGTAGTTCCTGAGTGGGGTCTTCCTGACCCCTGACATGGTTTATCTCTCTATTTTATGCTTTCATGGCTGTACTTCTTTTTCATGATAGCATATTTTATTTTTTGCAGTAGGGGAGAATCTCACTATGTTGCCCAAGCTAGACTCAAATCCCTGGGCTCAAGGCATCCTCCTGCCTTACCTTCCCAAGTAACTGCACCTGGCTCATGGCTATACTACTGATTGCAGCATTTGTCAAAGGGTTCTTTTTTTGTTTATTTGCTTATTTGGTAATTTTTTGAGAGGTGGGATAAGATCTTAAGGTTTAATCCATTTTTTTCTCCATCACTTTATCTTTTTATTCCTTATGTTCAAATTGCAGCCTGCTCTGTGCTCAATTCTTGGAATGGTTGTGCTAGGGAGAAAAGCAGGGATAAAGAAAACCCTACCTGACTGTTTTCTGCCCTGAAGTTCAATCCTAGCATGGGAGAAGAGTCTCAGGAGCAGATAAAATGTCTTGTCTAGACATGAAAGAAAGATTTCCCAGAGTTTAGAAAATATCCCCTCCCACCCCTCCCAACTGGGAGGTGGAAATTGGGGGGAGCTGCAGGCCAGCTGTGAGTTTGGAGCAAGGAGGATGTGTCCCTTGCTCTCCTGGTGGAGCCCCAGTTGAGCAACACTTGGAGCGGGGAAAGGCCACATTTTGAGTCCAGGGGCTGATGGAATAAAAGGAGCTTTGGAATAAATAATTCAGAGCCGGCACCAACCTTCTCAGAAAACAAAGGAACCCTCTGCAGCCTGTAAGGAGGCCTCTCTATGGTAAGCCAGGCCCACAGAGTCTTTGAGGACTCATTGGCAGGACCAGGCTAGCAGGTCAGATTGAATCAATTGAGCCTCTCAGAAAGACAATGGAGTTTGCTAGGGCTGCTGTAAGAAAGAACCATGAACTGAATGGCTTAAGCAACAGAAACATTTTGTCTCAGAGTTCTGGAGACTAAAATTCTGACATCAAGGTATCATCAGTGTTGGCTCCTTGTGGGGGAAGAGAGAGGATTTGCTCTGTGTGTCTCTCTTAGCTTCTGGTGGTTTGCTGTCAATCACTGGTGTTCTTTGGCTTCTGCGGCATTACCCTGACCTCTGTCTTCACCTACACATGGCATACTCTTTGTGTGCCTGTCTCTGAGCTTAAATTTCCCATTTTAAAATAAGGATAGCAGTCATACTGGATTAGGCCCAAGTTAAGATGACCTCATTTTAACTTGATTACCTCTGTGAAGACCCTATCTCCAAATATAGTTCAAATAATTCTCCAAAGTCTCTAAATAATTCAGCCTATATCAGCAGGTAAACTTATTAGCCAGGAAACCAGCTGCAGTTGAAGAACAATTTTCATTTTCAGCTAAACCAATAGATTACCAACGAACATCCAAATATCCAAGAGAATGTTTTTTTTCCAAGGTTCAGGAAGGAAATGAGGTAAAACATGAGTGTAAAACCTTTTCTTCCTGTGATGAGGTTAGCATTTCCTTGGAACAGGGAGAGAGGATTGGTCAAAGGACTTGAAAGAGTGGGCTGTGTAAAGAGGAGAGGGAACTGGGAAGTGCCATACAGGTTACCTCCTCTTGAATACTTGCATGCTATTAAGGAGGTACTAAGTTACGTAAAGCTATAACCTATCTTTACCTTAACCCTTTATCCTGTGTGCTAATCCTTAGGTAAAGTACTTTGTGCACCTCTTTCATGTTCTGTGTGTACTAATCTAGGAGGCAGGAGGTCTGCAGGGACTTCTTGTAGTCATCTTATGGGGACTCCACAGAATACAGGCTCCCTTCCCAACCTCCTCTTCTTACCTGGAATTACCAGAGGGCTACTGGCATAGTGGAGAAAGCCACTAGTGTAAAGCAAAGACAAGCCTGAGATCCCCTCACGGAGATCATGAATCACCTTTCAGGACAGAAAAGGTGGTGGCCTGCCCAGACTTGAAAACTGTTCACAAGTGAGTGTTCAAACCTTCTGTCAATCCCTGTGAGGAATGCACAATAACCTTTCTCCAAGGTGAGACAATTTCCAAACTTCTATTTTTCAACTTCAAATGAAATTGGAACATTTTGACATTTGTCATTCTTTCTCTAGGGATGGGAAATGAGGTGAGGAAGTTTTAAAAATATTTATGACAAAAAAATTCTAACATCAAAAAGCTTTCATGAAATAGTATTTGGATGATGTAAATGTAAATGATTGGAAGCTTTCAGTTTGAAAAAATTTCTATTTAAAAAACAAAATAGAAAAGAAAATTTGGAATGTGAAAGAAATTGCAGGTTAGAAAATTATTCAGTTATGCCTTGCATTTGTATATTTTGAATTTTTTTAGATGGTGTTCTTATATTAATAATCTTCAGGATTCCCTATTTCCTTTATTATTTTTTCCTTCAATTTAAAATAAAATACTTTGAAACCCAAATAAAAAGCACAATCTCATTCACAATAGCCACACACACAAAAAAAGAAATACCTTGGTATCTTCCTAACCAGAGAAATGAAACACTTTTACAATGAAAACTACAAAACACTGCTCAAAGAAATTAAAGATAATACAAACAAATGGAAAAATATTCCATGCCCATGGATCGAAAGAATCAGCATTGTTAACATGATCATCCTATCCATGGCAATCTACAGAATTAACGCAATACCCATTAAATTACCAGCACCATTTTTCTCAGACCTGGAAACAACAATACAAAAATTCATACGAAAACATAAATGATCACGGATAGCCAAAATAATCCTCAGCAAAAGAAACAAAGTGGGAGGTATCATACTTCCACATTTTAAACTTTAGTACAAGGTTACAATAATCAACACAGCCTGGTATTTGTATAAGAACAGGCATATAGACCAATGGAATAGGATAGAGATTCCAGAAGCAAAACCTCGATTTCTCAAACAACTCATCTTTGACAAAGCCTCCACCAATGACCACTGGGGAGAGGAGAACCTATCAGTAAATGGTGTGGGGAAAACTGGCTGACACACATGCAGAAGATTAAAACAAGACCCCTAGCTATAACCATACACAAAAATCAACTCTAAATGGATCAAAGACCTAAATGTAAAACCTCAAGCAATAACCTTAGAAAATGAATGTGATACCCTTATGGAAATTGGAACTGACAACCAATTCCTGATCAAAATCCCAAATGCCCGTGCCACAAGAGATAAGATAGACAAGTGGGACCTCATCAAATTGAAAAGCTTCTACAAAAGCAAAAGAAATCATCAAGAGAGTGAGGAGACCACCCAAAAAGTTGGAAAAAATATTTGCCAGCTGTATATCTGAAAAAGTCCTAATATCCAGGATCTATGGGGAATTTAAACATGCCAAAAAGAAAAAAACAAACAGCCCTATTTTGGGTAAAAAATATGAGTAGACACTTCTCAAAAGAAGACATATGAGCAGCTGACAGGCACATGAAAAAATGCTCAGCCTCACTAATCATCAAAGAAATGCAAATGAAAACCACACTGAGATGCCACTTAACTCCAGGATGGCCATTATAAATAACTCAAAAAAACAAAAACAAAAACAGATGCTAGAGAGGATGCAGGGAAAAGAGAATACTTTTACACTGTTGTTGAGAGTGCAAACTAGTATGACCTCCGTGGAAAACAGCGTGGAGATTCCTAAAAGATCTAAAAATTGACCTTTCATATGACCCTACAATCCTCTTTCTGGGAAAATACCTGGAGGAACTCAAATCACATTATGAAAAAGATACCTGCACACACGTTTATTGCAACATTATTCACAATAGCAAAAACACGGAACCAACCATGCTGCCCACTGAAAGAGGACTGGATTAAAAAAGGGGTATATATAGATGATGGAATATTATACAGTCATAATAAAGGACAGAATTATGAACTTTGCAGCAACTTGGTTGGACTTAGAGTCCCTAATACTGAGTGATTTATCACAGAAACAAAGAACTGAGTACCACATGTTCTCACTCAAAAGCAGACCTGAACAATGGTCATAACACTATAAAAAAAGGATTGACAGTAGTGGGAAACTGCTGGGGGGGGGGCGGAGAAGTACACCTCATCAGCAAGGGTACCTGCATAATGAACATTTGTATTCCTGACCTTGAATTGTACCCCACATTTTTAAAATTAAAAAATTAAAATGCTTTGTGTTTGGTGTGTGTATTATCCTGCATTTATGTGTATATGATGTGTTTGTATGTGTTTCTAAGATGGAACTCATCAATAACTTTGAAAATATTTAGTTATTTTCATACATACTTTTGCCTATGTATGAAGAATACAGAGTAATTCCACAATCCGCATCTTTACTTTCAAGAGTCAAAAGATCCAAAACATGCAAACCACATAGAAACACAATACTGCATATAAAATATAGAGTAAAAGGGAAGCTTAAACATATTTCAAGCCTTCTCTGGCCTGTAAGGTTAAAAACTACTCTGTATAAGCTGGGAGTGGTAGTGTGCCTGTAGTTCCAACTACTTGGAAGGCTGAAGCGGAAAGATCACCTAAGCCCAGCAGTTCGAGGCTGTGGTGGCCATTAGCATGCCACTGCACTCCAGCCTGGGAGACAGAGTGAGACTCTGACTTAAAAAAAACAAAAACAAAAACAAAAAAATTACTCAGTAGAAAAGAGTTTATTGAGAGGATGAAGTATGTTTACCCTTTTTCTGTCCCTGGCCCCTAGCAGAGTACTTGGAATGAGTACACCAGAAAATATTTCTTGTGTGATTTGAAACC